CTTTGACGGGGGAGCTCACCTGAGTGAGCAGAACATAGAAGAAAGAAATGATCTCTCCTGCCTCATAGGAGCTGCTATTGAAGATGAAGTTACACATACCTCCCCCACTGCTGGGTTGTCGCTGCATAGATGCGTGATGCTCGCCCTTGGCACGCAAGACTGAACGCACAAGCAGAGACCCACCGCACCGGCAGATTTCTGGTCTCCTGAGACCAAGGTGGTGGCACACTTCAGGCCAGCTGGGGCTGTTGTAGGGGCCGATAGCATTATTCTAGGGACACAGGGGACCCGTGAGCAGTAACAGTGTGAGTCTCAGCAGATGGGGGTTGGGGTGCAAACCGGCCTGGACTCGGAGCCGGGTGGAGATGTCGGGTCCAGGAGGCTAGGTGTATATGACCAGTCTGCAGAGGTGAACAACATGGGTAGGTATGAATACTCGTGGGCTTATTAGAACGCTTAGAGAGGAGGATCTTGGAGATCCGGGCCACCTGCAGCCAGGAAAATAGCACTCTGAGCACCCAGACATGGCCTGACATGGGAGCTAGGTAGGACATAACCATGGATCAAGAATAGGGCCTTGGGATTAAACTCAGTAAGAAAATTCCAGCTACTGTTTGTCTGGGTGTTATTCTATTTTGCTTCCCAAGTCTTGATGCACTTGTCCATTTTAAGCACCACTGTCAAGATAGCCTCGTTACGACATAATTCTCTGGCCATGTTGCTAATGCCTCTCACTTCCCCTCCCTGTTGCAGAAATACAAACCCCACGTGGTCTATACTGGGTCTAACTTCTAGTCTGCCATCTGCAAGCCTCCGGGGGCGGGCAGTTTTAAGGCCACTTCCGATCAGCCTGTGTCACCAGCAGGCCCAGCTACAGGGAGGCGCTGACCATCGCTCTACCGTGATCATGCCCTCTTGGCCTTAGGGACACGCTCTGTTGTGCACTTTCATTTTTGCCACTCCCCTCCACCAGCCCTTCAGTGCCGGCAGCCAACACACACCTTTCCTGAAGCCCTTCCCGCACCACCCAGCCAGGCAAAACTGCTTCCTCCTCCGAGTTCCCATGGCTCCTTGCCTTTGCTGTATTTCAGCACTTCCCATCTTGCGTTCTTACAAAGCACAGCGCATCTGCACGTACTAAGTACAAACCCCCTGCAGGCTGGGGCTGGGTCTTATGCTACTTGGCTCTTCCCAGCAGGACCAGCCCTGTGTTAGGGGAAATATTTGTTCCATAAAAATATTTGTTCCAGGGCCAGCCGTAGGAACATTTCTGTCTTCCTGCTTCTCGCCATGACCTCAGAGAGAGCTAGGTGAGGTGTTTAGGGGTGAGAAAGGAGGGAGCAGGGAGCAGGCTACCGTGTTTATAGGTGAGTAACGCTTTCCAAAGGAAATGAAAGATTTGCAGTTATTACTACTTCGCAAAGCTCTCTTTTCCCACTCAGGGGCCAGCCCTCCGATGTTGCAATCTGAAACGTAACAAAAGTCAAGTGCCACATGTGAGGCAGTCCCCACGATCCCGGTGGCTATTTTTAGGTCATCGTAACGTGGTTTCCGCAGTGCGATGCTTCTCCAGCTCAGAGTTATTGCCATTTTTCTGAGTCATGTTTGTTTCTCACGCTCACTCTGGCCCCAGCCCACGTTCTTTACCTCATTCTTGCCGTGCCGTTTCCCTATTTGACCATGCAAGCTGGCATGCCTCACAGCTGGCCCCCAGCCACTTCCCCAAAACGGCTCCGTGGATAGCCACCCTTTGTGGAACTCTCTCGATGGCCGTCTGTGGCTGTGAGGGCCCGCGGGCCCCAGAGCATTGCGCAAGGGCGGAGGCAGCGGACAGCAGACGTCTGAGCTCCCACCACCAGGATGGGCAGAGGTCTGGAAGCTTCTGTCAATGCAGCAGCGTAGATGCCGCATGCAGGTGTCATCCCTTAGTCCTAGCAAAAATGGACCCCAATGGGCCAAACGCCGATGTGGTTATTTCATCGGTGACGAGGAAGTCCAAATCCCAAACTTCTTCCCCCCCTCCCCAGGCACATTCTTGCTTATGACAGGTCTTCATCGCCTCCCTCCCTCCCCTTGCTCCGTTGTATCACTGTCACATCCAGTCTGAGCACAGAGCTGGGAACGATGACATCACCAAAGTTTTCTGACTGTAGAAATGAGGTTAAGCTTTTGCGCATGCTCACCTCCTTACCCCTCCCTCCCCCAGCATGTAGCAGAGCATGTTTGGCACGCACAGGGAGCTGAGCAAATACCTGGCCGTGTGGGTATAGTGGAAAGCGAACTGGATTTGGAAATGGGAGCTCTGAGTGTAAGTCCCAGCTTCGACCTTCCCCAGCCATAGGACCTCCGTCATGTCCTTTAATCTGTGAGGCTTCAGGCCTCCAGGGCTGGATGACCTCCAAGTCACCTCCACCACTCGCCCTCTCTGATTCCATTTGCAGATTGACCGATATGGTCGTCGGTTGGCTAACACCATTCTTTCGAGTTACCACAAATGCCACTAATTGATCTCCCCTGTCTTGTTCTTCTTTAATTGCCACACTTCATCCAGAGGCATCTTTCCAATCAATCATTTACTCCCCCACTTAAAACTTTCCCACAGTCAAGCCCTCCCCTCCCACAACCCAGATTCACTGAGTGAATTCATGATTCGGCTTTTCCCTGTCTTCCAATTCAGCCCTATCCTCAGCAACTCCAGGCCTTTGCAGATGCTGTTCCCTCTGCCTGAAGATCTTTTCCACATCTCTTTTGACTTATTCCTTCTCATTCTTTGGGTCTCAGCTTAGACACCAATTCCCTTCAGACAGCAGCTCTCAACATCCCTCTTGGGCACCCACAGCCCCCTGTGTTTACCCCCATTATAGTTCCCTTACTCCGTTGTCCCTTTGGAATTTTCCACTCTCTCAGACAGCCCCTGAAGGCAGCCTGTGACTTGCACACTGCTGTATCCTCAGCTGATTAACATAGTGCCTGGCACCGATGAATAATTGGATGGATGCATGATACTCTCGCATCGGACCCCCATCTCATTGCACCTCCTTTCTCCTCCGACAAGCTAAGCTCTCTTGACTACCGCTTCTCATCTTTACAGCCACCACACTTATTCTCTAGGACACGGGTGGTTGTAGGTCCTTTTCTACCCTCTTGGTCCCTGAAGATAAAAGGGCAAAAGTCAGGTATGATGATTGATGACCACTTTCCAAGGCATTAGGTAGCAGAAGTTAACAGACCAATGAAGGTGCTGTATATATGAACTCCAAAAGTTACACTCAGCACAGAGAACTAAATCAGATGAAAGTCCACACAAAAAAACAAAAGTATGGAAATTCGTGTGGATAATCGGCCAGATGCCACCCTGCTTCTGCTCCACACATGATAATCGGAAAAAATATCTTTATGTATGTACGCACCCAACCTTGGGATCCAGATATTCTGTCGTTAGGGATTTATTCCTTTGGGTTAAGCCAGATATGATAACTATGTGGCACCGGTCTTCCTACCCTCTATTCTTACACTACTGACAGATACTGCTAAAGGTGACAAAACCCTTTTTTGGTAGGATCTCAGAATCCTTCTCAACACTGTGCTCCAGAATCAACCGCCAGTAGGTGCCCAACTATCACCTGCTTCTTAAAAGTGTCCTTTGTTAAAGTGCAAAGGCCCCAAAGATGCCTGGGTGGCTCAGTCGGTTAAGCCTCTGACTTGATATCAGCTCAGGTCATAATCTCATAGCCGTAAGATCGAGCCCTGCATCAGGATCTTCAATAGGTGTGGAGCCTGCTTGAGATTCTTTCTCTCTTTCTCTGCTCCTCCCCTGCTCATGCTCTTGTGCGCTCTCTCTCTCTCTCTCTCTCTCCCCCACAAAAAACAAAAACAAAAACAACAACACAAAAAACAAAAGGCCCCAGACTGGCGACTAGCGTAGATCACTGGAGTTCTGAGGGAGACTCATTGAGCAAGTACTTTCTTTCTTCACAAGAGGAGAAGCAAGAAAGAGTTGGGGCACTCAGAGAAGGAGAGGTGCAGAAGGGTGGGAGGTGCATATGTTCCAGAAGGAAACAAAGGGCATGAGTGGAAACATCATCAGAGCTCTGGGCACAAAGATTATGGGCTCTGAAGCAAAGGACAGCGAAGCCATGAAACAAGGGCTGTCCTATGGAATGAGTTCTCGTTCTGGCTTCCATCTCTAGCAGAGCCCTATACTTAATTAAACTTCCGCCACATAAGGAGGCATTGGGGGATTACCCAGATTGTCAGATATGAATAGCTTATATGAGTCTAGACTAGAGAAGGAATAGCAAGATTAGCTTCTGATCTGCAGGGATTATGCTTGGCAGGCCCCTATCTGTAGAGCAAGACACAGTAGTGGATGAGAAGGTGACAGGATGGAAAGGAGGGTGGGTTAGTCATTGGGTAGAAGGCCAAGTCTTTTCGCTTGATTACAGACCATCAGCAGCACTCCTGAGTATTGCTGTCACCAGGTGGTCGAATAATGAAATCCAGGCCAGCTCCTTGAATTCTCTCCCATGTCTCCAGTGTGGGTGGTCTGTAAGACCCTGGACAATTGCCCCAAGGCTCTATGGGAGCTCTGGTGCCTGATATTGATGTAAATAAGTCCCTAAAAACACAGGCAACAGAAATGGGCCAAACTAGCATGCCGGACCCGTCAAATGCCTTTTTAATTGCAAATGGAGCCAACAATCAATATTTTCTTGGGGAGAGTAACATGTGTAGCTTTGCAATGATCACTTCTCCATGAGACAGAGAGAGGAGTGTGTGACTGGCTGCCTGTGCACTCACACCTGTGTGCTCTAGGGTACGTGCTGTTCCCGTGAGCATCAACATCAAACGGTAAGAATCTTTCCTACCTAAAAATACAATGATGGTCAAATCCCTGTTAACCCAAGATGAAAGCAATCCTATAGAATAGAGTGCTTCTTCTGGGGTATGCAGAGTCTTGAAAGAAAAGTCTAAGTAGATTTCCTCTCTGTGATTCGTACCTGCTGATGTAAGCGAGGCTGGCCACAGCCAACAAGGTGAGTCCTTTCTTCCTCAGCGGGTAGCAATGTGGCCTGAGGAGGACTTCAACCAGTGAGAAGGGCAGTATGGATGTGTGCTGTAGGAGAAGAAATGATAGATCGTAATGTCAGAAAGCCCTGGATGCCTGCATGCCCCCAATTTTCTCTTTCCTTTCCTTTCTTATGCAACCACCAGATGAAACTTCCCCAAACTGGGCCAAGATCATGCTCCTTAGATGCCCGAGAGCCTTCAGTGTCTTCCTATTGACTGCCATGCTGGCCCAAACTCCTTTGGCTTGTCACCAAGCCTCTTTGTAATGTTCTACCACCTTCTCTGCTCCTGCTTATTGCTCTCTGCTCTCCTCTTACACACACACACACACACACACACACACACACACACACACACTCCTCCACTAGAATAAAGCTGTTTCCTCCATTCCCCTTTGCACTCAGTGTGCTAGCCCCCACCCTCACACTTCTCTTCATGCCTCGACTCTCCGTGTGGATTGTCTTCTCTCCCTGTATTCTAATCATTCATGTTCTTCACGGCCAAGACAATCTTCCGTGATGTGGTCCCTGAATTTTCCTCTTGCTAATTTCTCTCACTCAATTCTGCTGCATTTATATCCCGCGCCATGTAGTCTAGCACTTATGATGTGTACTCGTAAGATCCGGGGGTGGGGTAGCGGAGAATACGGCTTACTGGGAACATCTAGTAGTGTTAGTATTTTATATATATATATATATATATATATATATATATATATATTTTTTTTTTTTTTTTTTAACACATACAGCTATCATTCCTCTTTCATCCTGGGTCCCCAATTACCTCAGCTCTTGGTAGCCTCCTGTGTCCTAAGGCTTCACCTACAAACCCCAACTCATTCCCATTCCTGATCGGCAAGGCAGTGGTCGCCGGGGTTTAGAGATGTCACAGAGCCCATGTCACTGTGGTCTCATGCCCAGCTACGTGGCTGGGACCCTGGGTGCCGGCTCTGGGTGGCCTTTGCTGTCAGTTGTGTCTGTGTTGCGCTCATAGGCGCCTTCAAGAGACCGCCGATTCTTCTCACTCTACCTGAACTGCGAAGGGTACGGTCAGGAGATCAGGACCCACATGACAAAGAATGTGGCAAGTTTGTACGGCGTAGGGGTGGAGCGAGAAGGAACAGATCTTAATAGTAGGGCACTGCTGGGCAGAGATGGCCTCCTGGGGCCCTGACGAGGCTGCGGTTTCGTGGCACCAAGTAATTAGGTCTCTTACAGGCCCTTCGTACCCTGATTTTAGTTGCAAAGCTTAGAAGAACAGCATTGCAGACAAACTATAGCATATATATATATATATATATATATATATATATACACTTTCTCTTTAATTTCAGAGAGAGACAGAGAGAGAGAGAGAACAAACGGGGGAGAGGGTCCAAGGGAGAGAGGGAGGGAATCTCCAGCAGGCTCCACACTCAGCCCCATGCAGGGCTCCATCCCACAACCCACCATGACCTGAGCCGAAATCAAGAGTCGGATGCTCAACCGACCGAGTTCCCCAGGCACCCCCCATACTACATCTTTTATAGACTTTGCCCAAAGTTGGTTCTGACCTTACTGACGGGTTGCATGTACAAGTGGAAAGACACGTAGGCCAATTGTCATACCCTGCATCATTCTCTGGGTCTGATTTTAGGCTACAGTTTCTGTGTCTCTCCCTCTCATAAAGGAGCATACTGATTACAGGCATGAACTTTCACATCTGACCATGGGCTAGTGACTGAATCTGTTTGAACTTCAGCTTCCTCAGCTATAAGATGGAGAATCGCCAGTCCATATGTCACGGGGAGTGCCACCCTGAGGATTGGAGTTAGAGTGTGTAAAGGGCTTCCTCCTTGGCTCCTGAGCGCTTCCGGTGAGCATTAGCTACGATTGCCACTATGACCATTGTGACTGCTGGCCTGCACCCCCTTGGTGGCCCCATGTGGAGTGGGCTGAAGCGAGGTTCTGGGATGCCCACAGCCCCAGTAGCTCAGCTGCAAGGCATGCAAGCAGCTGGAAGAGGTTAGCACAGCAGTCCCCATGGCCACCCTGTGGCTCCCACCCCCCAGCCAACAGCGGATGCCTCCGCTCCCAGCCGAGGCCACCTCTGAGCCCTGGCAATGCCGGTGACTGCCGTCAATGCTCTTTTCACCCAGAGGCCACCTGGGGAGGTGAGAGACGGACGGGGCTGTCTGCCCAGTGTGGCCACCTGCCTCCCCGCCCGCCTTCACTCTGGTGCAGCCAGGAAGCTCCAGCTTCTATTAGGAAGCATTAACAGTCCCATTATACTGGCCATTGATCTGACAGATTTTATTAACCCTGCCCATCGTCAGCACCTTCCATTCTCTACATTAATGATCATTTGGAACAGAATTCCCGTGTAATAATGTAGTGCGTTCGCATTAGGACCAAATGAGTTCGCGGTGATTAATGCTTTTACAACAAATAACTCAGGAATGCATGACTGGTCACCTCTTCTAGAAGCCTGCCCTTTGCAAGTGACATTCAATTGGATTTCCAAATGAATTCTCCCTGATGACTTCTGGGAAGTTTACCTCAGTGGTGTCATTAGTGACGGGCCATATACTGTGGCTTCATACCAGCCAGAAGGTCTTTAAAAGAATCACAATTTTTTGTCCGGGGCTGGGGGATAGAAGGAAGACGCAGGCTGTGAGCTTTCTAAACATTGAGTTACTGTGAAGAGCCAAGTGTGGTCTAACAAACCTCCTGGTATTTGAAATGTGCTGGTATTTCACCTCGCGCTCACATAAACTGTATAACCTTTGTCAGGCAGCGCATAATTTTTTTTCTTCCTTAAAGAAAAAAAATCAGCAAGAGAAAAATCAAATATGCTTTCTGCTTCCAAAAAATCTAATAATTAGGCTGGGATTGACACAAATTAGAGCACTGCCAAAAATTACTGAAAACAGTGACTCATTCTGTATTTCAATTAACAGTTTCTCAGTTTCCCTTATAAACAGAGAAACTGACAAAAATTAATTATCTCAGAGGGGGTAAAATATTTCCTTCCAGGGTAAACAAAAACATCATGGGCTGAAACAATAATACGGGCACACAGAGAGGATGGAATGAAGTGGTCTTCCTTTGTCAATCAGCCATCATTTTGGTAGATTTTTCCTTAAATGTCTCGTTCCAAATGCATTGGTTAAAAGGACAGTGTTACCCTTTCCCCATCCTTTTCTACCAAATTATGCCGTTGCCTCCTGTCCTCAGTAACGCCCACTTCCATCTGAACATCTTGGAGATGTAACTCTAAGCATGAAACAGGGATTTAAATATTAGGATATTAAAGCATTTTATTTTTATTTAAAAATTTTTTTAATGTTTATTTTTTTATATTTTTAATGTTTATCATTTTGAGAGAGAGACACACACAGTGTGTAAGTGGGGGAGGAACAGAGAGACAGGGAGACACAGAATCCGAAGCAGGCTCCAGGCTCTGAGCTGTCAGCACAGAGGCCGACATGGGGCTCGAACTCACGAGCCATGAGATCATGATCTGAGCCAAAGTCAGAAGCTTAACTGACTGAGCCACCCAGGCTCCCCAAATGTCTATTTATTTTGAGAGAGAGAAAGAGAGAGAGAGAGAGAGAGAGAGAGAATGTGAACAGGGGAGGTGCAGAGAGGGAGACAGAGAATCCCAAGCAGGCTCCACACTTTCAGGGCAGAGCCTGACATAGGGCTCGAACTCACAAAACCAGGAGATCATGACCTGGGATGAAATCAAGAGTCAAACACTCAAACCACAGAGCCACCCAGGCACCCCTACTATAAAGCATTTTAGATTCCCTGTTGCAAAATAGCCTTGCACATAAGTACTTAAATTTACCAGCCCACAGAGCATTCTTACAGGATTACATTGAGTGCCAACATGAAACATAATGTGCACTTAGTTTTACTCACTTCACACCTGGAGATATGTAGCTGTTATAAAGAGCTTCCCTGTTTTCAAGGCTACAAGGTACAATGAGATGCATTTGGCTGATTCTTGAGAAAGAGGCAAGCCTTAATCCCCAAGATAAGCCATGGAGCCAACGATTTTTCACCATCATCATGCAGGCTCCAAGGGCTAAATCCATAAGCCTAGGATTGTCACACTCTTATCTCTAAGATCCAAGAGCACTTAATTTCCTCCAGTGAAAGGAAGTGAGGGAGCCTCCACATTTTGAAAATCAGATAACACTTAAAAATACGGTCTCTGCCTCTTTCCTTTATTTCATTTCCTTGTTGGACTAGCTCTCGTGTTGATCTGAATTGACCGAGACAAATACAGCTGCTTCTAGCCTCTCGGACTGGTCATTGAGAGACTTTGTCCCTCAGAAGCTGTTTCTCAAGATGAGCGTCCGTAATATCGCCCACTTTGTGTTCGTCTCAATGTTTGCCTTCTTCCCTCTGTCCAGGCAATGCTTCGATTTGAGAATCAGTTCTTTACATTGACTCTAAACTGAGGTCTTTTCCCCCAAGTATGTAAAATGTCTTTCGTTTGTTTATGGTGCTGATGGATAGATACTTTTAAATGAAGTCTTAGGGATGCCTGGGTGGCTCAGTCAGTTAAGCGTCCAAATTTTTTTTTAAGTTTATTTAATTTTGGGAGAGACACAGTGTGAGCAGGGGAGGGGCAGAGAGAGAAGGAGACACAGAACCCGAAACAGGCCTCAGGCCCTGAGCTGTCAGCACAGAGTCAGCGCGGGGCTCGAACCCATGACCTGTGAGATCATGACCTGAGCTGAAGTCAGACGCTTAACCAACGGAGCCACACAGGCGCCCCAAGTATTCGACTCTTGATTTCAGCTCAGGTCATGATCTCATGGTTCATGAGATAGATCCCTGGATCAGAGTCTGTGCCTGCTTAGGATTCTCTCTCTCCCTCTCTCTTGGCCCCTCCCCCACACTCTCTTTCTCAAATAAATAAACTTTAAAAAAAAATGAAGTTCTTTGCACCAGCAAGATCTCATTTCTGGGGACATTCAGGGTATTTTTTGCTTACTATACAGTAAATGTAACACTTCTTATGTATTAAAAAACACGAAAGCCTTTACAAAAT